TGCTCAGGTTTCTATTAATGGTCTCAGGAAGGTGTCACAGCACACGATGGAGGAGCCCGGTATTGAGAGCCCCAATTACCTTTATCTTCTGGCAAAGAATTGTGTCATTTGGGGGATAAATCTGTGATATACAAAACTCTACCATGAACCAGAACTGCCCATATCAGATATGAACTCTAAAAAATCTCATGGAACAAGTACAGAACCTACTTCTAATTTGTTTAAATACTTTTATCCCTTTGCTGAGGTGCAGATGTTTATTTGCAGGACCTGTACTGTCTTTTTTAGTGCTCTTTTACTCCACATACCCTAATTCGTCTGTTAAGGCAGATTGACAATCAGAAAGAGAAACTAGCAGAAATTAGTACAATCTTGAATTTCAATCTGATATTAAAAGCATTTACTTAACTATCAAAAATTCCTGTTAATCACACAAGTTATATATCTACTTATTGAAACTCAACTAATTAGAATTTATGAAATTTAAATCTTATCTATGTGTTATGATTTGCCTAAGTTAGAACAAAAAAGACTTTTTAAAATTAGCCAAAAGTTCTGGGGCCATTTGAAACAACTTAAAGAGGTCATTTCATCACTGCTATATTGATTAGCAAGAGGTAAATCACTTCCATTTGGTTTATGGATATAAAAAACCTTAAAATTCCTATTCTAAAAATGGGTTTTCACCTCATCTGTGAATCTAAAAACAAAGAAAAAAGTGTTAAAATAAAAAAACAACAGAAGGGGAAAATAATGTGTAATGTTACTGTACTCTTAATTTGCTTTTATGGCCCCAATTACTTTTATTTCAGAATACAACATTTTCGCTGGAAATATATCCAGTTAACAAGTATTTTGGGTGCTTACCACATGTCAAACCCTGTGCTAGATTTTATGGCGCTAAAAAGAAAAGTCTGTGTAACACCGGACTTTATTTCCATACTGGTTACTGAATTGTGAACATATTTTTATATATGACCAAACAAATTCAGACATGTCTTCAGAAAGTTCCATTAAGAGTGAGAATATTTGTTTATATTATGGCCTTCTGTTGGACTTGGCTTGCTTTCCTTTTGCTTTAAAGTAATTGCCTATAATCTGAGGTGTCTGGTTGTCAGAGATCTTGGTAAGGTTCAAGAATTATCTAGAATCTCACAGTTTGTCATCTCATCCTAGATTTTGGATTATGTAGGTAAATTGGATAGCTTAGACATAAAACAGCTTTCTGCGGCCCAGGACTGTCAACTCAACTAGCAGTACTTATAATTAGCGTGCCCACATTTGTTCCATATGAACAGAGAAACAACACAATCAATTCTTGCCTTGGAGTGAGAGGTTTGGGGGCATAGATTAAGGGGTTTGAGGATTAATGTTATCTTCCCTACCAAGGCTAGTAACTTCATAGCTACTGATAAGCTGTGATTTACACTAATTGTCATGCATCTTCCTTTCTCTTCCTAGCACCCCAAAACATGCACACAGACATACATCACTCATTCACACACCCACCAAGATTGAAGCACCTGAACTAAACTTTAGCACTAAACTTTTACCTTCCTAAGAAGGTAGAGCAGACAGGACTTTTTCATAATTCTGATCCTCAACCAGCAGAGGCTCCAGAATTTGTTAAGGATGGACTTGGGGACAGCAATTTTGGAAAAAAATTGTGTTAAAGCTACAGTCTTGTATGGAAAGTACAGTAATTTTACTTAAATTATATTTTTAATTTGGGTGGCTTATAGGGTTGGTGCTGCCACACTTCATGGAAAGAAGTGCTAAAACCCTCCTAAGTCAGCCTCCTTTGGCTCCAGGTTTCATGGAGGGAGATAGAGGTAGGAGTTAAGGTATAGGCAAGCAGGAGCAATTAAAGAGGCTAACAAATTGCCAAAACTTCCAAAGGGAGGAAAAGTAAGTATATGAAATTTGGTCTATGAAAATCTACTTCAATTTAACATTTATAGAGTAAATTTTTCACTTGCTTTTGAGTGTAAAAAAATACTTAGAAAAATAATTTTCTTTTTTTTTTTTTTAATTTTTTATTTATTTGCGAGAGAGAGAATGAGAGACAGAGAGCATGAGAGGGAGGAGGGTCAGAGGGAGAAGCAGACCCCCCGCTGAGCAGGGAGCCCGATGCGGGACTCGATCCCGGGACTCCAGGATCATGACCTGAGCCGAAGGCAGTCGCTTAACCAACTGAGCCACCCAGGCGCCCAGAAAAATAATTTTCTTAAAATAAAATTTTATTACATGGTGTGATGAGCACTGGGTGTTATATGCAACTAATGAATCACTGAACACTGCATCAAAAACTAATGATGGGCGGCTGCAGCCTTGCTCTGGTCCCTGTGGCAGGCAGCCAAGCTGTGTCTCCTCCTCTGCCACCGCCATATTGTCTGTGTGAGGAGAGGGGAGAGCCGCCGCTGCCGCTTCCACCACAGTTTAAAGAAAACAGGTCTGAAACAAGGTCTTACCCCCAGCTGCTTCCGAACAGAGTGACCACCAGATCTCCAAACATCAACTCCACCTTCGTTCACCAACCTGTCAGACATGTTGGGACCCGTGCCAAGCAGGGCCAGAGTTTACACAGATGTTAATATGCACAGACCCCGAGAGTACTGGAATTATGAGTCACACGTGGTGGAGTGGGGTAATCAAGATGACTACCAGCTGCTTCGAAAATTAGGCCTGGGTAAATACAGTGAAGTATTTGAAGTCATCAACATCACAAATAATGACAAAGTTGTTAAAATTCTCAAGCCAGTAAAGAAGAAGAAAATCAAGCGTGAAATAAAATTTTGGAGAATTTGTGAGGCAGTCCCAATATCATCACACTGGCAGACATTGTAAAAGACCCTGTGTCACGAACCCCTGCCTTGGTTTCTGAACACGTAAACAACACAGACTTCAAGCAATTGTACCAGACGTTAACAGACTATGATATTCTATTTTACATATATGAGATTCTGAAGGTCCTGGATTATTATCACAGCATGGGAATTATGCACAAATGTGAAGCCCCATAATGTCATGATTGATCATGAGCACAGAAAGCTACGACTAATAGACTGGGGTTTGGCTGAGTTTTACCCTCCTGGCCAAGAATATAATGTCAGAGTTTCTTCCCGATACTTCAAAGGTCCTGAGCTACTTGTAGACTATCAGATGTACGATTATAGTTTGGCTATGTGGAGCTTGGGTTGTATGCTGGCAAGTATGATCTTCCGGAAGGAGCCATTTTTCCATGGCCATGATAATTATCAGTTGGTGAGGACAGCCAAGGTTCTGGGGACAGAAGATTTATATGACTATATTGACAAATATAACATTGAATTAGATCCACATTTCAACGATATCTTGGGCAGACACTCCCGTAAGCGATGGGAACACTTTGTCCACAGTGAAAACCAGCACTTTGTCAGCCCTGAGGCCTTGGATTTCTTGGACAAGCTGCTGCGATACGACCACCAGTCACGGCTTACCGCAAGAGAGGCCATGGAGCACCCCTATTTCTATACTGTTGTGAAGGACCAGGCTCTAATGGGCTTGTCTAGCATGCCGGGGGGCAGTACACCTGTCCGCAGCACCAATATGATGTCAGGGATTTCTTCAGTGCCAACGCCTTCACCCCTTGGACCTCCGGCAGGCTCACCAGTGATTGCTGCTGCCAGCCCCCTTGGGATGCCTATTCCAGCTGCTGCTGGTGCTCAGCAGTAATGGCCCCTTCTGTCTCTTGATGCCTAAGCAGAGGTGGGGGAGTCCTCACTTTCCTTGATGCAGCTTGCACCTGGCGGGGAGGGGTGAAATACTTCAGAAGCACCGTGTCTGAACCGTTGCTTGTGGATTTGCAGTAGTTCAGTCATAAAAAAAAAAAAATTATAATACGCTGATTTTCTTTTTTTTTTTAACTCGAACTTTTCATAACTTGGGATTCCCTGAAAAATTACCTGTAGGTGGAATACTTCACGGACAACATCTTTCCCCCCTTTCAAATTCAGTTTCTCATCGCTAAAGGACAAAGATGAACCAGCCTCAATCCTGGCTGCTGCATTTGGGTGGAGATATCTTCCCATGTCCACCATTGCTCCCCAACCATCCCACACTATGGGGGGTTTATATCTCATGCTCTTCTCCAGAGATTACAGAAATGTAGGTTCTTCAAGGGAGGTGGGAAGGAAGGAGGAAGGGAGGGCCCAAGCTAAAAGAGCAGTGTACTGCTTGTCACTTTTCTCACTTTACTCCAAGTGCTTCAGTGGGGTTGTCCTGGTCAATCTCGTGGAAATATGTCTTAGTTTCATTGAGATGCTGAAAATCTACCCCAAGTGCAGACAGGTCCTGAAAACTTCTGTTCAGTATGAATCATGTCTTATTGACCTAACCCTAAATCCAACTCACTTCTACTTTTAGTTTCAGTTCAGTTTAAGATTATAATACCTTCCCTCCCAGGCTCCTTACCTTGGTCCTCTCCCCTTTCATCTCCCCATGTGCTCTATAGCTGGTGGGAGGGGGAGGAAAAGTCTTTCTCAGTTTTCTTTGACTTGGCCATTTTGAATTCAGTTAGTTACTGGGCTTAACTTACTGCTTTTTACAAAAGAAAAGCATTGTCTATATGGGTTTCATGCTAGCAACTCTTTAAGAGCTAATGGAAGATGTGGCCACCCCGAGTTTCATCTTAAGCTTTCTGCCTTCTTTTCTTCCTTTCTTCCTCTTCCTTTACATGCCATCCAGTGAGAAGACCTGTCCCTCAGTCTTGTAAATGTATCTGAGAGGTAGGAGCAGAGCCTCTATCTCCAGTGAAACTGAAATGGTAGACCTGTAATTGTGGGAAAACTATAAACTCTCTTGTTACAGCCCTGAAAAAAAAACAAACAAAAAACTAATGATATACTACTATATGTTGGCTAATTGAATTTAAATTTTAAAAAAAGAAGAAAAAATAAAATTTTATTATACAAAAAGTCTCAATATTATTAATATATTAGGCTTTAACTCTTCTTTTTCAGTAGTTTGCTTACTGCTGAAGAATCAGCTAACAAAAACTGGATGGTGTGGCAGTTAGAAAGCTGCAGAAGCTCATTGAAACCATTTTTGCTTACAGGTAAAGATTAATTGATTTTGAATGCTAAACAAAAAGTAAAGGTGAGAAGGTATAATTAGTAGAAATGCATTGTCAGCTTTATTATTTTTTTATTATTGTTACTGTCATACACAGTTCCAAAATTAGAATTTCAGAATTTTTCATCTTAATTTTGGGTTGATGCTTATAATGCAGATAAAAGTAGTTGTGCTACTTCAGTTCCTCCATACATTATGATTTGTTATTATTTAGATTAAAAGTAATGAGGTGGAAAGCTCTGTGCCACAGTATCTAAGATGATAGTCATCATAAAATCTGGTCAAATATATCTTCTAGTTTAGGTTCATTATAATAAAATAGAATTTCAAATTTAGTAAATCTTACTTTAATTCTTTAAAATGTTATCAAATGTATTAATTTAGTAATTACTAAAATGTTCAAACAAAATAATGGTTCTATTTCCTAGTAAATACTAGAATAATTTTAACTTTATGATATTTCCATAGATTGAAATAAATCACTTATGTGACTTCTATTGCTATAATATTCTGGACTTTTACAAGTATTACCATCTTGAAGACAAAATACTAGCTATATAACTTCAAGTTTCACTTTTTTACCAATGTGTGAAAATCTGTTTCATAAGGAATTTTCAGTGTGGTTCTATTTATTGTGTTTTCTTTTACCCTATGAACTGCTTCTATTTGTTTTTGGTTTGTTATTGTTTTTTAAGTGCCAAGAAGTGAAGAGCCCAACAGTCAATATTCAGTTATGGATTTGAAAAAGATATTTTCTATTGAAGAAGAAAGTCTTGTAGTTAATCCTATAAGCACAGAGTGGTGGGGAAAAGGAGGACTAAATCTGAAAGAGGCAGAAACTTTGGAACATCTGAAAACATATTTGTGTCATGATGATCTATCTTCTGATGATACTAAAATGGAGATATTTTTGCCAACAAAAGTGCTTCAGTTAGAATGTAAGTACGCAATAGTAAATATCACTTGTGTGAATTTTTCAGAATGAGAAAATGTTAGATACTGGCTTTCTACCAGGTGATTGGGAAAATGAAACGAAATTCCAGCATTCAGTATTAGCCCTGGCTCTGCCAGAATTTATGACTTTGAGCTCCATTAAGCCCCATTTTCTTCCTTGAAAAAAAATGAGGAAGTTTGACTAGCTCATCTTAAAATCCTTTGTTGTCCTAAAATTCTATAGTCTCAGTTTTTAAAATTTCTAGCCATTTTCAATTAAAGTGACTTTCTTTTTATAAATGATTAATTGCTAGCCCAGTGTTTATTAATATCAGACTAGACTCAAAGCAGCACTGTTATTTTTCTATCTGACAGGTGAACTCTGGGTGTTCAATAATATCTAATAACCTCTCTTTAACAATAGATAATCTTCCTTTGTTTCCAAAGAGTTTACTCAGTAAACATTTTTTACTTATACAATTTAAGGCAGCAAAATGTCTTTTGAGTATCTATATTTTGAGTTATTTTGGTTGTTATATATGCCATTATAATAAATGGAACATACTTAGTCTGAATTACACATTTTTGAAGTATATACGGATTATTTTTAAATCAGTTTGTGCAACAGCTTTAGATCTTAAAGAAGTTGGGAAAGTTCACTTTTAGTTTATTATAGAGTAAGTAAATATATTTAAAAATGCATTTTAGATATTATTGTGTGTGTTGGGAGACTGCTTTAAGGGGATAGGAAGTGGGGCAAGATTTGTTATCAGCAAGAGATGTTTCAAAGACAGACCTTTGAAGTATCAGGAAGAAACTCTGACATTATATTCTTGGCCAGGAGGGTAAAACTCAGCCAAACCCCAGTCTATTAGTCGTAGCTTTCTGTGCTCATGATCAATCATGACATTATGGGGCTTCACATTTGTGCATAATTCCCATGCTGTGATAATAATCCAGGACCTTCAGAATCTGTACACCAGTCTATCTGTCCTAAGGCCCAGGTGGGTACTCAGAAGAATTTTAAAAGAGATTAAGTCAGATTGCTAGACAAAGAAAAGGGAGAGGAAGATTTTATGGGGTCTTCAAATATCCAGAATAATGTATTATATCTATAAGACTATGTAAAGTCTTTATTATGGTATGTAACTATTTTGAAGTTAAAACATATAATTCACCTTGACATCCAACAGAGTTATGATGATAGTTTAATTATGAAGTTTAAAAAGCAATAACTGAAAAGAAAACAAAAATAAATAAAAAGCAAGAACTATATCAGGAGCTCATTGCCAAGTTGTCAGGATATGGGTGATTAAACAGAGAGAAGTAGAAGAAAATAATCAGAAAAGGGAAATAATAAACAGTTCATATTTGCTTGCTAAACATACCAGGATGTCTCTAGAAAATATCTCAGAGGTTTCGAATTGGTAGCCTCTGATCCTAGTCAGCCCATATATTATTGACCCATATAGTGTTTTAATTATTTACCAACATTTACAGTTTGGAGGGTTGCAGATAAAGGATCTGTATTTTGAGATTGTCTTTAAAAATTCCAAAAACCAGACCCATACTCTTATATGGCAACAATTGGTTGGAACCAATAGCAGCTCACCACTTTAGACAGGCCGTTAATAGCTCCCCACCTCCAGTTCACCATAGTTCCCAGCCCTCATAAATTGAGTCCAGGTGTTAGTTGGCACTTAGCATTACTCTTGCACTTTTGTCTTACATTTAGTATAGTTAGAAGGAAAGTAAAATGTTTCTTAAACCAATATCTCTAATAAAAGCAAAATCAAAATTACAGACTGCATTTGGAAGAAAAAATTCAAAATTTATCTTCCTCAAGATTATGATTTAAGCATTGGCAATATATTTTTTAAGATTTTATTTATTTATTTGACAGAGAGAGAGCACAAGCAGGTAGAGTGGCAGGCAGAGGGAGAGGGAGAAGCAGGCTCCCTGCAGAGCAAGGGAGGCCCGATGTGGGACTCGATTCCAGGACCTGAGCCGAAGGCAGTTGCTTAACCAACTGAGCCACCCAGGTGCCCTTAAGCACTGGCAATATAGTTCATTCATTTACATACCTTATTTCTCTGGCCCTATAGACATTTAAGATTTTCTCAAACGTTATAAGGTATAAGTTACATATAATAAAATGCACCCATTCTAACTGTACGGTTTTATGCATTTTGACAAATGTGCATACCAATGAAACAACCCACCACAATTAAGATACAGAATATTTCTTGTTTTACATGTTTTTATTTAAATTCAATTAATTAATATATAATGTATTATTATTTTCAGAGGTACAGGTCTGTGATTCATCAGTCTTATATAACACCCCGTGTTCATTACATCACATGCCCTCCTTAATGTCCATCACCCAGTTACCCCATCCCTCCACCCACCCTCCTCTCCAGCAACCCTCAGTTTGTTTCCTTTGATTAAGAGTCTCTTATGGTTTGTCTCCCTCTCTGGTTTCATCTTGTTTTATTTTTTTCCTCTCTTCCCCTATGATACCTGTTTTGTTTCTTAAATTCCACATATCAGTGAGATCATATGATAATTGTCTTTCTCTGATTGACTTATTTTGCTTAGCATAATACCCTCTAGTTCCATCCGTGTCATTGCAAATGGCAAGATTTAATTTTTTGATAGCTGTATAATATTCCATTGTGTGTGTGTGTGTGTGTGTGTGTGTATTTATATATACACCACCTCTTCTTTATCCAAGGATATAGAATATTTCTATCACCAAAATGTTTCCTGTGCCCCTTTATACTCTGTAGTCATTACATTCCTCTCTTCGTCTAACCTTCACCCCTGATCCCAGGTCAGACCCATGTGTACTTTCTGTCACTATGTATTAGTGTCCCTTGTTCTAGAATTTCATTAATGGAATCATATAGTAACTATTTTGTGTCTGACTTCTTCCACTCAGCATAACACTTTTGAGATTCATTTATGATGTTATGTGTACGACTAGTTCATTTCTTATTACTGAGGAATTTTTCATATGGATGTACTCCAGTTTGCTTATCAACTCTCCTGGATGTATTTCCCAGATTTTTACTATTAGGAAAAAAACTTCTAGAAGTTTTTTTGTGGACATATGTTATCATTTCTCTTGATTGAATATCTATGAATACAATTACTGAGTCTTATGGTAGGTATATATTTAACTTCATAAGAAACTACTAAAGGGGTGCCTTGGTGGCTCAGTCAGTTAAGTGTCTGCCTTCAGCTCAGGTCATGATCCAGAGTCCTGGGATCAAGCCCTGCATCAGGCTCCCTGCTCAATGGGGAGCCTGCTTCTCCCTCTCTGGGAAGGAGCTCCGAGAGCTTGTGCTCTCTCTCATTATCTCTGTCGCTATCTCTGTCTCTCTCTTTCTCTCAAATAAATAAATAAAATCTTAAAAAAAAAAAGAAAGATGGGGCGCCTGGGTGGCTCAGTCGGTAAGCGTCTGCCTTCAGCTCAGGTCATGATCCCAGGGTCTTGGGATCGAGCCCCATGTCGGGCTCCCTGCTCCACAGGAAGCCTGCTTCTCCCTCTCCCACTCCACCTGCTTGTGTTCCCTCTCTTGCTGTCTCTCTCTCTCTCTGTCAAATAAATAAATAAAATCTTTAAAAAAAAAAAAAGAAACTACTAAATTGTTTTCCAAAGTGGTTGCACCATTGTGCATTCACACTAGCAATGTGTAAGAGTTCCAGTTACTCTATATCCTTGTCAACAGTTGGTATTGACAGTCTTTAATTTTAGCATTCCAATGGGTGTGTTGTGGTATCTCAGTTTGGTTTTAATTTGTATTTTCCTGATGACTAATGATGGTGAACATCATTTTACATGGTCATTGGCCATTTGTATATCTTCCTTTAAAAAATATATTATAGGGGCACTTGGGTGGCTCAGTCAGTTAAGTGTCTGACTCTTGGCTTCAACTCAGGTCATGATCTCATGGGTCATGAGATCGAGCCCCAGGAGCTGGCTCCAATCTCAGCAGGGAGTCTGCTTGAATATTCTCTCCCTTTGCCCCTCCCCCTACTTGCACATGCACTCTCTCTCTAAAATAAATAAACCTTTAAAATATACATATATATTATAGCTTTATTGAAATATAATTCACATATCATAAATTTATCCATTTAAAGTATGCCATTCAATGGTTTTAGTATATTCACAGAGTTGTAATCATCACCACAATCAATTTTAGAACATTTTTCTCATCTCCCAAAAGAAATCCTGTACCCATTAGCAGTCACTCCCCATTTTCCCCAGCTGCGGAACCACTAATCTATTTTCTGTCTCTATAGATTTGTTGACTCTGGATGTTTCATATAAATGGAGTCATCCATGTTGTAGCATGTACATATCTTACGTGAAGTATTGCTCAAATATTTTGTCAAATTTTAAATAGGCTTTCTTTTTAAATATTAAGCTATAAGAGTTCTTTGGATATATTGAATACAGTCCTTTTTCAAGTGTATGTATTGCAAGTATATTCTTCTGGTCTGTGGATTGCTTGGTACCTAAGGTTTTTACCTTTAGACTTAATTGCAAGCCTATTGGCAATAGGGCTTTTCTGGAATTCTTTCTTTGTTTGGTAACCTAGTTCCAGGATTAAGAAAAAGAGGTCTGAATTTTTGCCCTTTTTAAAAATTTATATTATTCAGGCCAAAATTGATTTTCAAAGCAATAAACAAAGTACTTCCAAGGATCAAATTATATCAATAAGAACTTACAAATAGGGGCGCCTGGGTGGCTCAGTTGGTTAAGCGACTGCCTTCGGCTCAGGTCATGATCCTGGAGTCCCTGGATCGAGTCCCGCATCGGGCTCCCTGCTCGGCGGGGAGCCTGCTTCTCCCTCTGACCCTCCCCCCTCTCATGTGCTCTCTCTCTCTCATTCTCTCTGTCTCAAATAAATAAATAAAATCTTTAAAAAAAAAAAAAAAAAGAACTTACAAATAAAAGTTATTCTAATACCCTAGTAGAACACTCATTTATGCATGGAAGTCATTTGGATATTTTTATTTTCTGTTTTTAGCATGGCTAGAACATGAAAGTTGTTCCTCACCTATTGTACTTATTAATGAGACATCTACAAATGATCATTTATTACTTCCACAAAAGATTTCATCTCCGGCAGAAGAAGTACCAGACCTGTGTTTTTCTGATGACAATTTTTCTGTTAAACGACCAAAAGAAGAAAAACCAAAGAATGATCTAGAACTAGTTTATAGAATAAGCCAAAATAAAGAAAATGAAGATTACTTGGAACTTGACTGCACAGTACCATCTATTGAATCATCTTCCTCTCCAAAAATTGAAAAAGCATCTTTTAAACATGGTAAAAAATGGGAGAATGATTTGGACCTTTTGAGTGACTTCATTATGCTGCGAAATAAATATAAAACTTGCACCTCAAAGACTGAAGTCACAGACAGTAAAGAAGATGATGGTGGGTAATTTAGTAATATTTTGGCACAGATATGATAGCTTTAAGGTCTAAATGTATAATTTATTACAGAAGGTAAGAAAATTTAAAGCTCTTTCAAATAGAATATATTCTTTTTTTTTTATAATTTTTTTTTTAAATAGAATATATTCTTTTTCAAAGTCAAAGAAAGTGTCATTTATTCATGATACTTATTGAATATGGAGATAGATGTGGCTATTTAGATATAGATGTAGATATGTATTTTCCAAAAAATTTAAAAGTACACTTGAACTTGTAAGAAAAACCACTATTTGTAAAACTTGCTTTTGCAACTTGGCCATACAGAGTCAGTATTTCTAACTTTTATTGATCATTCTGCCATTCTTTTTTCTCTTTTAGCTGACAGTTCTCAGTATTACATTTTAATGTGTACTTAAGAACACTTTGCCGATTTGATTGCTTATTACTCTTTTTAAATTTACCAAAGAGTTTCTGTGTGAGTTGTAATTGTTTTACATTCACTGCTTATAACCATATCAAAGGTAGTACGTGTCATACATTTCACTTCTGGTAAAGAAATAATAAGTATTATAGAATATGTTTGACATACATTGCCCAGAAGAATTAAGTACAAAAATATATATATTTTTTGTCACAAACTTCACTTTATTACATGAATAAATCTCCCACTGCTCCCTGCTCTGACCTTTAGGGGAAAAGAGAGAGAGAGAGGGAGAAAACTTACAAAATGAGAGCACACTTGACCTTAAGTACAAAAATATTTATGTGTGAGGGGAGCCTGGGTGGCTCAGTCGTTAAGCGTCTGCCTTCGGCTCAGGTCATGATCCTGGGGTCCTGGGATCGAGCCCCGCATTGGGTTCCCTGCTCTGCAGAAGGCCTGCTTCTCCCTCTCCCACTCCCCCTGCTTGTGTTGCCTCTCTCGCTGTGTCTCTCTCTGTCAAATAAATAAATAAAATCTTAAAAAAAAAAAATTTATGTATGAGAGTTACAGCATAGTTAGGTCTTATGGTCTCATATATTATTAACATAAAATTCTGCTGCTTAGTTAATAAGGCCATTTGACTCTCAAACTAAGCTCCTTTATCCAACTTAGCCTTTACTAGAAACAGAGGTAATATTTTGGTATATATTTTACTTCTTGCCTTATTTTATAGTTAATTAAGGGGCAAGAAAGAATGTTACAACTTATTGGGCCCCCTCAAAAACTCTGGTAATTGTATTATTTAATCCTAGCTATTCCAATTATTTTTTTCTTTAAAGATTTTATTTATTTATTTGAGAGAGAGAGAATGAGAGACAGAGCATGAGAAGGAGGAAGGTCAGAGGGAGAAGCAGACTCCCTGCTGAGCAGGGAGCCTGATGCGGGACTCGATCCCGGGACTCCAGGATCACGACCTGAGCCGAAGGCAGTCGCTTAACCAACTGAGCCACCCAGGCGCCCTAGCTATTCCAATTATTTATAGTTAATTAAAAGTATACTTGAAAATAATAACATAATCTAGTTTAGGATATTTTACTCCATTATTTTTCACCATGTATTTAAAGCTCATATATTAAAATGTTTTAAGATGGTATTGTGTTTCTAAAATTACCCTGTAATCATATTATTAATAGATAACATTACTATCTAGTTAATATAAGTAACTATAAATAAATTAATTAGTTATATACATATTTGTAATCCTCTACAATACTTAGGAAAGAAGGAAGAAAACTGACATTTGAATGTTGTATGCCAGGCACTAAAATACATATTAGAGATAAAGATGATACCATTGCTGACCTTGAGAAGCTTACAACATAGTACAGTAGGCTTATAGAAAATGCCTGAGAGCTGAAGGGTGAGTGGTAAGAATTGACCTAATTAAGAAAGGATGGAGCCAGGGAGGGCTTGGGGCATAGGAGAGGATTAGTAGCAGAAGGAGGGGTATGTGGAAAGTCACAGAGAAATGAAATTGAGCCATTTGTGCCTTTCAGGTGTCAGGAACTGTACTTGGTGTTTAATCCCTATAACAATATTCAAAATAGGTATGTTTATCTATATTTTATATATGAGGACACTGAAGCTAGTGTCAGAACTGAGATTGAAACAGTGATTTGATGTCAAGATTCTTTCCACGATTGCCTTCAGCACTGTTACATCCATTGACCTGAATAGTTGTTCAATTTAACACTGACATGTTTCAAGGAAGAACTTTAACAACTGTGATCATATTACATGAAAGCATTTTAAGTAAAGCAACATTAAGTTTCCCTGAATAATGCAAATTAATAATTTTTATTAGAATTTCAAGATAAAGAAGAACATTCTTTGACTCTTCAGGAAGAAAGTCCTCCTGTTTGTACTAATAAAGCCATAGAGAAAATAAATCAGGAAAGGAGAGTGGATAATGTCATTGAAATTCAAGCATCAGGTATGCTGTATGCTTTTAAAATGCATTCAAATTAAGTAAATTTGAAAGCCTTTTCCTGAGTATCTAGGACATACCTGATTTTCCATGTAATTTTCTTCATTTGTTTCAGATGTTTCTTCATTCCATTCCTACTTTTAAGATATTCCTACACCTGAACACCCCATTCACTGCCTCTGCCCCTTTCCATTGCCCTATTCCAGTGCACTCACTGTTATTTCTTCCTTCATTTAAACTGCTGCTTCCTGGGCCGCCTGGGTGGCTCAGTTTGTTAAGCGACTGCCTTTGGCTCAGATCATGATCCTGGAGTCCCAGGATGGAGTCCCACATTGAGCCCCACATCGGGCTCCCTGCTTGGCAGGGAGTCTGCTTCTCCCTCTGACCCTTATCCCTCTCATGCGCTCTCTCTCATGCTCTCTCTCTCTCAAATAAATAAATAAAACCTTTAAAAAATATAAAAAATAAATAAACTGCTGCTTCCCTACATTCATCAGAGAACAGCAGACTGCAGCTGCTCAGACTCTTCTGCCCAGTTAGGAAAAATGAACTGCTGAGGCTTACTCCTTCTGTTCTCTTGCCCACTGTCAGGGTGATGTTAAAAAAGCTATTATTGTTTCCTATAGTGATTAAAATTTTTGCTCCTGCTGTGAAGAAGAATATTCTTTGACTCCTAAAGAATAGCCTACTTAAAAGAACATCATGCTCATTATTAAAATCGATAAGGAAATATGACACTAGTTTTTAATATCTTTTCATTTTTCGGTTCAGTTTTATTTATGACCTTTAGATGATAATGCAAATCTTAAAGTATTGCTATTCTAGTGAAAACTAGAAACAGTTTGTCATTGTGGTAAATTTATTCAGCTTAAGGTTGTAAGCTAATTGTGGAGGGAAAAAAAAAATATGTGATTCTCTTTATATGGCTCTTCACACTTGCCATATTAGTTACCGAATACATATTTTCTAATAAGCAGAATAACCATAAAATTATACATATTAACCATAAAATTACACAATTAACCATAAAACTACACAAATTCTACAGATGGTTTTTGTTTTGTTTTGTTTTCTTATTATTTTTTTGTTATTTTTGTTACTAGTTTATTTAGAATAAATATCCTAAAATGAACCTCTATATAATCTCACGATTTTTAACTCAGAAAATAATTTGGAGGGGCGCCTGGGTGGCTTAGTCATTAAGCGTCTGCTTTTGGCTCAGGTCATGATCCCAGGGTCCTGGGATCGAGCCCTGCATCAGGCTCCCTGCTCAGCGGGAAGCCTGCTTCTCCCTCTCCCACTCCCCCTGCTTATGTTCCCTCTCTCACTGTGTCTCTGTCAAATAAATAAATGAAATCTTGAAAAAAAATAATTTGGATGTAGTTCAGTTTTCCATGAAGTGACATGTTTAATTGGTTTGTCAAAAAGAGCATGCCATCCTTATCAAACACTATCTTTAATGCTTTTACTTTCACAGAGAGCCAGTGCCAAGCATTCTGTCTCCTAGAAGCAGCAGCTACTCCTATCTTAAAAAAACTTGTATGCCTCTGTACTCTCCCTGCTGCTAATTGGACATTTGCCACTGTCATTTTTGACCAAACAAGGTTCCTCTTAAAGGAACAAGAAAAAGTAATAAGTGATGCTATTCAGCAAGGTAAGTACAAATAAAAGTCATATTATTTAAAAGGATAAAAATTTATGGGTTGTTGTACCAAATGAGTAAAAATTGAATATAGAAGGTATAGAAATTAGTCATGGATGAAGACATAACTTTAATTCAGAATATGACACCCATAAACTAATACTGGAGGGTCAGCTAAGTAAGGAGAAAAAGGTAACAAATACATCTGGCATTGCTTCTCAATAATGCTCCTAACTGACTTATATTACTTGACAGATTCCTAGTGCAAAAACCAAATTAACCCTATTATTGTTAAATCTGAACCACCTAGTTCCCTCCCAAGGTCGGGGGGATGTCAAAAATAGATTAATTAAAGTCAACCCTGGACTTTTCTCCTGGCCAAGATGGAGTAAGAGGGATTGAATTTACACTCCTTTCAGGAAAAAAAAGAAAAGACAAAGACAAAATACATGAAAACAGTTTTTAAGACTCTATAGACATCAGGCAGTGAAGCACCCTGATTCCCAAGAGATGGGAAACAAGTAAGGTGAGCCCTACCATTGCCCTAGCTTACTGCCTTGAAAAAGTTGCCAGGCCATAGCACAGGGAGAGATAGTAGGGGCAGAGCCCAGTGGACAATCTGTGTTGAGGAAACAGAACTGAGAGTCCAGGGAGACCAAGGCAGCTAGAGTTCAAAGGATAGAATATGAGAGACAGAGAGAGATTCACACAGAGTATTGAGCAGAGTACTGATCAGAGTATATGTGAGGAAACCACCTGAAGTTGGGGAAGCAAACCATCTGAAAGGATTAGAGGGAGTAGTACTCTGCACTCACACAGGGCAGGGAGTAATGCCTGCTCCGATCAGCTAGATTAGAAAAACTCATAATTTGTGGGGCACCTAACATGGTAAAATTCACAGTGTCTGGCATCCAATCAAAGATTACCAGGCATGACAAGAGATAGGAAAACACAACCCATAATGAGAATATTCCATCAAAGCAAACTCAGAACTGACAAAGATGTTAGCATTATTAGAGAAGGGCACTGAAACTTCTTATAACTATGTTCCATATGTTCAATAAGTTAGAGATAGAAAAAGGACACAAATCAGCCTTTTAGAAATGAATACAGTGTATGAGATGAAAACTGCACTGGATTAATGGCAGAGTAAATATTACAGAAGAAAAGATTAGTAAACTTGAAGCCATAGCAATAGAAACTATTCCAAAATAAAACACGGGTAGATAAAATAATCTAAAAAAAAAAAAGAAGAAAAGAGCATCAGTGCACTGTGAAACAACTTCAAATAGCCTGACATAATAGTAAGTGGAGTTCTCAAAGGAGAGGCAAAGGGGGTAAACAGAAAAAAATATTTGAAGAAATAGTGACTGAAAGGTTTCCAAACTTAGTTAAAGACTACAAATCCATAGATCCAAGAAACTCAGTGAACCGCAAGCATAAGATGCATAATGAAGCTACATCAAGGCGTATAGTCAAATTGCTCAAAACTGGTAGTAAAGAGAAAATTGTAGGAGCAGCCAGAGGGGGTACGGAAAACATGTTGCATAAGGAAAGCAAAGATAAGGATGACGTAATTTCTTGTCAGAAGTTGTACAAGTGAAAAGACAGTGGAGTAAAATCTTTAAAATACTGAAAGAAGGGGTGCCTGGGTGGCTCAGTCAGTTGAGCAACCAACTCTTGATTTCGGCTCAGGTCATGATCTCAGAGTCCTGGGATTGAGCCCTGCATCTAGCTCTGCACTCAGCTGGGAGTCTGCTTGAGGGTTCTCTCTCTCCTTCTCCCTCTACCCCTCCCCCCACTCTCTCTCTCTCTCAAATAAATAAATCTATGAGAGATGTTCAGAAATGTTCTCCTAAAGAAAGAAGAAAAATGGTACCAAATCTGGTTTCTCTGCTCTGCTCTCATCCCTTCCAGGTCATGATTGACTTGTTACCACAAGTCTTACAGGGGCTGGATATACTACCCAGAAATGGTTCTCCTGTTGCCTCTTGGTTCCCAGTGACTACTTCATATTTGCCTTGATCTTTATTGATTGATTAGATGAGCAGTTTCAAACTTTTTAGCAGAACATTTTGTACAAATAAATATTTCATGGGATCCCACTATATAAAACAGAAAAGTAGAGCTTTTCTGGTTGATTTGGGGCAATGGGCCTAGATTCCTATCTTCTTGGTTTCACTTTTGCACATGGTAAAATCCAATCTGTCATCTTGAAAAAGCTCTAGAACTACATGGAACACATTAAGTAGACAATTGGCCTGTCCCTGTGAATACATCCCTTGTTTGAGTCATATCTTTGGACAATTATTCCCAGGTGTCTCTACCTTCATTTTAAGGTATTGCTTTATGTTATGATCACCCATCTTTATCTTCACCAGTTGGCAAGTTATGAGTTTAATTTTCTTCTTGTTTTATAACTGGGAATCACTGATCTTTTTTCCTAAGTGGGAAAGCAACAAGAGTATGAACACTGAGGTTAGCCATCTGGGTTTGAATGCCAGCTCCACCATTTATTCACATATTGACCTTGGACAGTTACTTAACCTTGTTCAGACTATTTCCTCATCCAAAAAATGAGGCTCATAATAAACTTGTCTGACAGGGTTATCATTATAGATTCAGTGAAATAACCAGCTTACATACAGCCTGGCACATAGTAAGTACCTGATAATGAATGTTAGCTATTATTGTTAAGCATTCTGATACACATTCAAAAATTCTGATGTGTATCTTATGTTTTTAAATATGTTTCTGCTTGCTTAGGTACAAATGATGAAAAAGAAATGACGTTCAAGCATGCTGCTCTCTTACATCTTCTGGTAACAATTAGAGATGTCCTTTTAACATGTAGCTTGGACACAGCGTTGGGTTAGTGGGGGAAATTTTTATTTCCCCTTTTCTTCCTATTGAAATATTTCATCTGAAATAACTTTTACTTTTCTGAAAAAGAAATTATAAGAAATGATGTAGCCTCTTTTACTTCTGCATTAAACATTATGTACATTTTGACATAATTATAATAGAATATATATTTTTATTCTGCCTGTATTCTTTAAAAGAAATCATTTGTAACAAATATCATCACTTAGAAAAATAGGTTTAGGATTCTCTAATCTAGGCCTGAATTATAGAGTCATAATGCCTTAAACAGATTTGATTGTATAATCATTGTCATGCACGACTTTTTAATGTAAGGTGATATTTTGCCATGTACGTTTTAGGTCTTCATTGAATGTTTGTGGCTTTGAATCTTTGCTAGGTGAATATACATAACTAATATAACCAAATTATTAGTAGTAAGATATTTTGCAATTTCTTTTTTAGTTTTGTCTGTAAATTAGGATATGAATTACTGGAGGAATAAAAATCAAACTATTTTGAATACATTGGAAAATTTAAAGATTTTAGAAATTTTTTCTAAACTATGAAAATCATTTAAATATCTGTCTCAGTACATTACTGCTTGAGGCTCCTTAATGCAGGATTATTTAGACTTGTTTAGTAATGGTATGCTTATAGGATTGTTTCATAATTTAGAATTTCTAGAACCTATTTAAAATATAAAGTGAAAATAATTTTGCTCTGATCTGTGACCCAGAGGTTTTGTTTTATCTGTGACCCAGACAAGTATTTCTCTAATCCAAGGTTTTGATAAGTACTGAGCAGCAGTGAATTACAACTATACTCCCTTTACGGCACTGGGAGTTATATTTGGCCAAGCATTATATTAGTATTATCTGGCCAAGTATTATAACTAAATTACAGCTACCTTTAGAAAGCCCAACATGGTGCTTTTCCTTTTCTCTCCAATTAAACCACTTGGGTGTTGATGCTGATTGGGTTGTTTTACCTCCATCTCCATCAAGTATGGATTGGGGGCTCTCGCCCTAGTTTACAGTACCTGGAATTGGTATAAGGGTGTAGTATTACATGCCCTTCTATTTCGTCACCTGTCTTTTCAGCTTCCATAAAAAATCATCAGTTCTATCAAAAGCTAAGCTGATTGTTAAAGCATAGTGTAAGGCAGAATGTCAGAATCTAGACTACCTGAGCTCCCAGTGCTGTAAAGAGAGTACATTGTGGGGGCGCCTGGGTGGCTCAGTTGTTAAGCGTCTGCCTTCGGCTCAGGTCATGATCCCGGAGTCCTGGAATCGAGCCCTGCATCGGGCTCCCTGCTTGTCGGGAAGCCTGCTTCTCCCTCTCCCACTCCCCCTGCTTGTGTTCCTGCCCTTGCTATCTCTCTCTCTGTCAAATAAATAAATAAATAAAAATCTTTTAAATAAATAAATAAATAAATATAGTACAATATATATAACCATGTAATTTATTATTAGCTTTACTATAGAGAGCTTAACTATAACCCATTAGTGTTTTCTTCCAAAACTTTGCAAATAGATAGCAAGTATTAAAATCATCACTGTGGAAAATGACTTTTACCAAGTTTCTTTAATGCCTTATAATTTTTAACATACTTTAAGAAGACAAAGCAAGTATGGAATCTTTAATGTTAATATTGACCTATTTTAAAATATATTTATAGAATAATTACAGTGTTGAAAACCTTAAAAATCAAATCTTAGTCACTATGTTTCTTAAAAGGTGGTAGTATTTTAATCCATGATTAGTAATACGGGATTTCCTCTGAGGTAAGTGGGGATTGCCTGTAAGTAAGCCAGTTAAAAAAACAAGAAAAAAAATTCTCTCAAAAAAAAATCCCTGTAGTTGAAATTTAAGATGTACAAATTCTTGACTGAATCTCCCTGATAAGTTTGCTTGATTGGAGTACAAATTACAAAGAAATTAATTCACTAGGGTGGAAGTGGGGAGCAGAAACTAAGTTTGAATGGTATGGAATATAAATTAATGGCAAATATAGTAAGGTAGAAGTCTGATTGTGAGCAAATGTTAACAGTATAAGAATTATATAATGGAAACACAAAGCTCTGTTAGAGGGTTTCTTAAGAGTTACCATGTCTTACATATTTAAAGCTTTTTAAAAAGATTTTATTTATTTATTTGAGAGAGAGAGCATGCATGAACGAGAGAGCACAAGCAGGGAGAGCAGCAGAGGGAGAGGGAGAAGCAGATGCCCAGCTGAGCAGGGAGCCTGATGTGGGGCCCTATCCCAGGACCCTGGGATCATGACCTGAGCCAAAGGCAGATGCTTAACTGACTGAGCCACCCAGGTGCCCCTGAAGTTTTTTTAAAAAACAATTATTTAGGGAGAAATACCATTTGGGAGACTTTTAAATTTAATTCATAGTTACCTAACTTATTGTTAGAGTAAGACACTTCCTGAATCATTCACTCTATCAAAAACTAACTGTAGACCCAAGTTGGGCTCCATGTAGCCTGCTTAAGATTCTCTAAGATTCTTTCCCTCTCCCTCTGCCCCAGCCAACCCCACTTGCGTGTGCTCTCTCTCTAAAATTAAATTAAATTAAATTAAATTAAATTAAATAGAACATAATAAAATAGAATGTAACTTTGGAAAAAAAAATAATTGCATTAAAGGAAAAAGAAGATTCTAGACTATTAGAGAGCAATTCCTGGAAGTCCATTGATGGCTTCTTTATCATCTTCCTTAAATAAGCATTCAGTGCAGATTATCCCATGAGTTTTTAAACATATTTTATATTGCCCTTATGAGTAGGCAAATCCCTTTCTATAAAGGACTTTGCCCAAATAGGGGCATTCTATAGGCTGCTTTCTTCATATCTAGGACTTTGGGAGATTCATGAGCCTTCCTTGCTGAAGCTATCATTTGCTGGTTGATATCTACTGTAGCTTTTCCCCTATTACTTCCAGTGTGATTTTAATTTTTCCACAAAATGGAAGCCCATGCCTGTGACTCTTCTCAAGTTATTACATATATTAATATAGATAAAATATAAAATAGATTATTGGGCGCCTGGGTGGCTCAGTTGGTTAAGCGACTGCCTTCAGCTCAGGTCATGATCCTGGAGTCCCAGGATCAAGTCCCACATTGGGCTCCCTGCTCAGCAGGGGGTCTGCTTCTCCCTCTGACCCTCTTCCCGCTCGTGCTCTCTGTCTCTCATTCTCTCTCTCTCAAATAAATAAATAAAATCTTAAAAAAAAAATAAAATAGATTATTAAAATATGGTAATAATAATTTCATAACAACTATTCAACCTAGTGAATCTTTTTATTTTTTTTCTGGTAGGACCTAGAAGAATTGAATTGTGAGAAGGCATCAGACAATATCATTATGAGACTGATGGCATTATCACTCCAGTACAGCTATTGTTGGATAATCTTATATACAAAAAAAACATTAAACTCAGAGTAAGTAAACATTTCTTCATCCAAAGTTACGTTTATATTCCTTAAGTTATTTGGTCCTCTTCTTTGAATAAAAGTAGCTATGCAAATTTTCTACTTGTTCATCTAGTTTGCTTTGAGTGGGGATCTTCAAGGTGGAGGCATGCCCATAGGAAAACAAATCAGAATTTTGGAGATGATATATTTCCACTGGGCATTCTGTGCAAATCATCCTCCTCTAGTTCACTAAGAGTCGCTGCTTTAAGTGTTTCACTTTTTATTACTTTTTAGTTCTGGACTTGTCTGTTAAAAGATGCCATTCTTAAATCACTTCTCTCTAAAAGCTTATTAAATTTACCAACTAAATAGCACCTTGCTATTCTTTCATTGACGTGCTTAACTTAAAAAATACAAAAAATCCATGCCAAGATACTGGCTCAAATTATCATTATATGTCCCTTCTTTCCTTCATCTTAAAATTTTACGAACCCACAGCTTCCACCTCCTTTTTTTAATTCTCTGCAGTCTGGCTTTTCTCCTACATCTGTACCAATCTGTCTCTCAGGATCACTTCCACCTCCAAAAGTATTTTTATCTTTCTCTGCTCTAAAGTATTGAAGACTGTTGTCAGTGCTTCCTTACTTGAAGCTCTTCAGTCCCATGACGCTTCACAGTTTTGATCTTCTCTCTAACTACTCTTTCTCTCTCTTTACCTCTTCTTCCTTGTCCCAGTCTCCAGATACATTTGAATTCTTTTCTTTCTTCTATTCAATCCATTAGAAACCTTACTCACTGCCATAGCTTCAATCAGCATCTTTCTGCCTATAATGATTATATCTGCAGCTGGAGTCGCTTTTTGAAATTCCTGACATGTATCTCTAATTTTCTATTAAATATTTCCACCCTGATATTTTATAGGCTCTCAAACTTAACATGTTCCAGGGTGAATTCATTGTATTCTCTATCCCCTCCAAAGCAGTATCTCCTCTTTTCTGCCCTTTGACTATTTATGACCATTGCCTTTCTTTTAGTCACCGAAATTAGAAAACATATCTTATGGATGTAACCACTAGTCTCTTTTTTATCTATCCCCTCTCTCCATTTATATTACCAACATCTTAGTTCAGATCTTATGTGGACTGTTAACTACCGTTTTCCCACCTCATGGCTCTCCATGTTACTCTCCATAATCTGTCATACCTTCAATTAATATTCCAAAAACCAGGCTCTTACTGTTTCACTCTGTTAAAAAGCCCACTGACTTCCCTATTATCTATTGAATACATACATACTATTCACCCTAATATTCAAAGTCTTTAGAATATAATCCTGACCTATATTTTCAGGCTTAATTTTCACTGTTTTTCATTTCAGTCAGAAGGATTGCTCATTGGTTCACAAACATGGTCCTTACTTTGCCACTTCTACTTCTGCTGATACATTTCTCTCTTTCTACAATATTCTCTGTTTCCTCCAACTATTTGATCTGGTGAAATTGTGCCTATTTTTCAAAACCTATATCCAAATATCACTTTTTCTATTCTATCTTTCCTTAATACCCCCATCTCATGCACACAAAAGTTAAT